GTGGAAATAACAGAAAAGGTTTTGAATTTTTTATTTGAAATGATCAAAGTTAAAAAATAGAAACACAGAGTTAAAACAATATCCAGAAATTGAAGCACAGTAATGAATCAATATGATCAAGAAACCTCAATGTGACGTGTGTGCATGTGTGATTTAAGCTCAGGCAATACACAGGTATTGATGCAAGTATATATGCTTCCAAGATTACAAATCAGTCACAAGAATCCAATCACTAGAATTCACAAATAGTAATCAAGTAATCATGCATCAATCAAGAAAGACCACCAAACCGTATTCAAAGGTGAGATTGGAACAATCTTACCAGTTGACTGTTGAAAAATAATAAATATACCCTCAAGCTCTCAATTGAGCAAGCCAGCTAAAGTCATCAATCACCCAAATCAGTCAACAACATACAAACAAGAGATTACTAAGAATCAATATCGAATTAAAGGCAAGATGCCCAGATTATATTATCTGTTCAGACCTTGGAAGGTCTGTGCAGATAAAGTCAGAACAGATAATGTAACACAACAGGAGAAACCCAAAACAACAGATTCGAAGATGAACACGGCCAAGCCCTAGATCGAAGGGCTCTGATTCCAATTTTGTTGGGAATTTACAGAGTTCAAAACGCTCAAGTCACAAAACAACTAACATATCTACAAAGCATAAAGAAATCATAGAAACTGAAATTATAGAATGATAGAGTTCTACTTTCCTGTCTTACTGGCTGAAAAGTTAGACTCATGAACAGCCCTCCACGTTTGCAAATTGCCTTCTAGAGAGAGATTTATAATCGACCAGAATCACTCAAAACTCAACTTGGGTCATCGATCCAAGGATCTACCAAAACAGTCAAGCTCAAGCCCTATCACTGACATAACCCTTGCAAGATACCAACACCATTCAGCTACTATTTCAACCCTGAATATTACACAAGGTTATCTCAACAACAGGCTAAGGAGATAGTGAACACCGGATGAAGAGACGAACTTGGACTCAACAGAGAGAGAAACAGACCAACAGAGAGATAATAGAAGAGAAGTCTCAAGGAAGTAACCGAAAATGATGGAGCTCAAAAGTCGAAGCCCAAGAGAAAATATCTCACAGGAATAAACCCCAATCGTCGATCTCATCCAAGGGCCACAATCAATTCTAAAATAGCACAATCCGGGTGACTACCAAGCTACCAATAAGTGGGTGACACGTAAGCAACTAAGTAAAGAATAAGCAATAATACAAATGTCACAATTAGAACTAGCACAATAGTGTAAGAGAACCACTAAAAGTCCACATGATTCGAACGAATTGATGAATTCGTTTTGATTTCAATTAAAATATAAAAGTTTGAAAAGTGTTTATAAACAGTTTACATTATAAATACATAGAAATGAGTAATAGATAAGTAAGTACTACTTGTGAGTTCCTTAAAATGTACAGAAAAATGTGTGGCTTGAATGTTATAAACTTGAGTAAAACAAATAAAACTCTTGTGGATTCTTTAGTTATCGATTTTTTAAAGTATTTTATACGAATAAGCAACTAAGATAAAATAATTTCCTCGAATCAGAGCAAATGATTCGGAACTTATATATAGATGAACATGGTCCTTCATATGATTCTATCTCTTATAGATGTCATTTGATACAATGAACATGGTCCTATCAATATGTCCACATTGAATTGATACCAACATTAATTAGATTTTATGGAAATTAAATAGAAATCATAAAAGTACAAACATTATACAATCGTGCCATAAGTAAAAAAAAATTTTTAACAGAAATTAAGCAGCTTGTGCAGAATATAATCAGAATGTACCACTTTATTAATGAAGAAGATGACTTATGAGAGATCCATATGCTGTGCTGATCTTATGATCATCTCAATTAGACAATTTTGGTAACTTTCTTATCTGTCCCTCCGGAGATTCATAATAAAAAGTTCTGAATATAATCTTTAAATAATACTCAAAATGAACGATTGATTAAGAATAAATTGGTCTACTTCTAATCCAATCATAACTCAAGAATAACGAATACAAAAGTCAATAATTGTGTGTATAATGGGTAGATGATAATATAAGAATATGAAAAATACTATCGACGTTATGTCCTAACATATTTTTTCTTTAGTATTGTTTGATTCTTTACAATGCGTCGTGGTAATGTTAAAAGACATGATTGTATGTTTGTTCCAACTCTTACAATTAAAATTTTTAGACGAAATGAGTCGATATAATATAAGAAGTGACATAATTCTTAAGTTAAAATATTGCCTCTAAACAATTAAAATACTAGCTCCTTTCTTTATCCGATCCGGCCCGAAAAGACGCAGGCACATTCGCAGAAAGAAGAGATCTCGATCTCAGTCGAATCGGGGGTGTATAAAGTGAAATTATGTTGCTAACAGCAAGAGAGTAATTTTAATCACCAAAAAAAAAAAAAAAAACTCTCAAAATTGCAGCCCCATTTAACTTTCTTATAAGTTAATTACACAAAATTCAAAAATAATTTGGTATAATCATCCAAACTAACTCAACGAATTTGGTGCCACAATTAAGGATAAAAATATATTTAGAGTCTGTTTGGTTTAGATTTAAAAAAAAAGCTAAAATTTTAGTATATTTTGATAAAAGTCGATGAAATGAGTGATTGGAAAGTCGTAACTTCAATAAAATGAGTGTTTAAAATTAATTTTTGATTTTGACTTAAAATTTAATCTAACTTTTTAGTGGAACCAAACAAGGACTTAATATATTTATGATGTAATATTTGAATAAGAAGAATTTTAGAATTTCTTTTTATTATATTTTTTGATTTTTTTAATATTGCGTATTAACATGTTAAAATAAATCAACAGGAAAATTTAAAATTTTTTAATCCCTTGTGTTTGAAACACATAATTAAGCATTATTAGATTATAAGGATTCAAGCAATGTGGTTGCCAGCACGAGCGTTGAGAGGGAGACACGACATATCAAATAAATATGAGATGAATTTTTATTTTCTACAAAATAAATAAATAAATAAATAATCCTCGGAGTCCATAAAGAATTTCACACACGCGAGTAGCACCCTTCTTTATTTATTATTTATCTAAAACTTAAATATATTTAATTTTGAAATATAAATCAATCAATTTCACCATGAATAAAAAAAATATATTTCTTCATTCACAACAAAAAATAACAAAAAAAAAAAAATTAACATTTACGATTCTACAAAGAAACTATACATAGGTGAAAAACAAATACTCAGTCTATGTTTGGTCCCCATTTTTTCATAAATCCATTTTCAATCACATATTCTTAAATTAAATAATTTTAAGCGTAAATCAAAAATTTTTCATTCTTTTTTAATTATACATTCTCCAAAAATTTATTATTCCAAAATATATTTTCTTACAAAAATATATGGATGACAAAAAAATCCGACAAATCTGATACTCGCGGGCCCCGCCCCGAACAGGGCGGGGATTACCCCCTTTAAGTATTCGGGTCAAGGACGAGGTGGTGAATTTTGTCCCTGAGAATTTAATATTTTAAATGAAAACTTTCACGAAATTTTATTAGTTCTAATAGAAAATGACAACTTAAATTATTTAACAAATATGACAAATAATAAAAGTCTTAATTTACCAAATATATTTAAATAATTTAATTTTTAAAAATAAGTAAAGATTAAAAATATATATTATTGTCTAAGTTTAATGAATGTGGGGCAATAAAATGAATTATCAAAATTTTTAACGGGGTAGTAAACGGGGCAAGGGTCCCGCCTTGCCTTAAATGCGTAACAGGGCGATGAATTGTATGGCATGGGGTGGCGTGGTAGGGCGGGGCGGGGCAGGGCAGGGCGGGGGTACCAAAATGGGACTCGAACAAAGGTTCATTGTTGTTGTCTAATCTTAAAGGGCCACCTTAGATAGAGTGTGAACTGCCTTCAAAGTAGTTAAAAACTATAATTATCAGAAATCCTTGATCATGAGATGAGATGAGATGAGGTCAGACCACGACCCAACTTGTTAAAACGGAACAGCCATTTAGAAACGTTATCATAAGTAAATATAAGGAATGCTCCTTAATGATATCAGCACCTCTCATGACAACTAATCAAAGATAAGATGATGTTACCTTTGACGTCAGCACGTCACGCTTTTCAATTAAAAAAAAGTAATGATTGTCTAGATTGCATGTAAAGATGACCTAGACCACATACTACAACTAGTGATCTTGATGGTGACTGGATCGATGTTCTCGACCAATGAAATCCATTCAACCATGGCGGTGACACGCAATTTAAGGGCAAACAATGTATCTTGAGCCTATATAATGAAGCAAATGTCCAAGAAGAAAGGTCAAGCTAAATGAAAATACATTTTTTTTTAAAAAAAATAAGCCTTCTCTATATTACACTACAAAATCTTACTCAATGAAAATACCTTTTTAACAATATTTGAGCAGTACAATAATATTATTCTGCTAAATTTCTTTTAAGTTGATATATAATTATTATGTCATTTTTAATCATTATTACTCTTGAAACTTTGCACGAGCAATATGCCATGAATTTAAAAACAAAATTATTTTAAAATTAATTTGAAAAAAAATTCTTATGGGGGATTTAAAATATTTCCAATTGAAAGAATTTATTATAGGATAAACCGCGTTAGAAAAAGAAGTGTAGGTGAGCAGTAGAGACAATTCATACAAAGGGTTGAAAACGACCAAAAAGACCTAGCTAGGTTTTCCACACACACATCCCTCAGAGTGAAAAACGGCTAACCAATCAGCTAATTCCACGCTTAATCCCAGGTTAATTAAGAGAGAGAAGTGTGTATATGTATATATGTATGTATAGGTTACAGATAAGATAAAGCCAGTTGGTTTGGCAATAAACATTCTGAAATTTCCTAAACTCCAAGCATTACTTTCATGTCCATAGAAACCCTTAAAAACATTTGATATTTTGTTTTCATTTTGTGAAATTTAAGGTATGCAACCTGGTGGTAGAGATTTGGAAGCCATGAATTTCAATTCCTTGTTAAATCAAGAACAATCACTTCAAGAAATGAATAATCATCAAAATGGTCAACCCCAGATGTCATCCCACTTCGATCCGACGTCGTCTCATGATGATTTCCTCGACCACATGCTGTCGTCTATCCCATCTTCGAACTCCAGTTTTAACTGGGATGTGTCCTCTGTCGCGGCTCGAGCCGACCACCCGCCGCCTTCGACTCTGCTTAGCCAATTTGATGACCAGTCAACTCAGTTAGTTTCAAAGCTGAGGCAGCACCAGATCAGCAGCGGCGCCGCCAAGGCCTTGATGCTCCAGCAGCAGTTGTTGCTGTCCAGAGGACTCGCCGGAAACGGGCTCCGGTCGCCGTCTGGGGTCTGCGGCGGTGAGAGTGGTCTTCTGCAGATCCCTTTAAGTGTTAATAATGGTGACCACGCCGACGTCGTTGATGAGTCCTTCCAATCGGCTAATCCGGTCAGTTTTTTCTCTCAAAAAAGACGAAGAAACATTATAATTTTTTTCTTCTTATTATTGGCTAATTATTCTCGTAACATAATCACAATACAGGCTAATGATGCATCAATGCAAGGTTTATTCAATGGATTCGCTGGATCTCTTGGTCAAACTACAAACCAATCTCAGCATTTCCACCACCCTCAGGTTTTTATATACACTCAATCAGTTATATAAGTTTTGCTGCATTTTATGCAAATTTCAATTCGAGTATGCACAATTATCTTATTACATAGAGCGATGCAGGCACAGAATTTTGGTGCAGCAGTTCCTGGGATGAATCAGCCTGCGGCAAGTGGTTCAACCGGCGGAGGGACGCCGGCGCAGCCTAGGCAGAGGGTTAGAGCAAGGAGAGGACAGGCCACAGACCCTCACAGCATCGCTGAAAGAGTACGTACGATAATATAGTACAAAAGCAGTTAGAATTATTTTGTTTCTTCTGAATTAATTTAAGCATTTTTGTCATTTTCTCTTTAGTTTGTTTGTGATTCTTGAATATTTTGCTGAAAACGAAATGTGGGGGTGGCAGTTACGCAGAGAGAGAATTGCGGAGAGAATGAAGGCTTTGCAGGAGATTGTACCCAATGCTAATAAGGTAATTTCACAACACCCTCATTTTAATTAATTATTGGTAATTATTATTAACTCACACGTGGTGTGTGCAAATTGGAATGACAGACGGACAAGGCTTCGATGCTCGATGAGATCATAGATTATGTAAAATTCCTCCAGCTCCAAGTCAAAGTAATCTGTTTTTCTCTCTCTACTTTAATATACAGTAGCTGTTTTTTTTTTTTCGGTCGACAAATTGTTATGGAGAAGACGACATTCGATCAGTTCGAGGGCCGTCTGATTGAAAATTCAATTTTATTTATTTATTTATTTTTTTAGGTTCTTAGCATGAGTCGATTGGGTGGCGCTGGAGCTGTTTCCCCTCTCTTAGCCGATATGTCCTCTGAGGTTAGTCACACTATTGAACATGAAAATGTACAAGTCGAGATGTTACATGCGCTCTAAAAATCGACCCGTACCCGGTCGAAGGCTAAAAAAATTAAGATTTATTTTTATATAGTTGGAGAGGGCATTAGACCATTTTTGAACAAACCAAACATCACCAACCCCACAATCCTTCCTTGTCCCCTCAATAATCGCCATTACCATAAGCGACAAAACAATAAAGTAACACGCGTGGTTACTTTCCAGATTCCCACCTTGCCAACCGAAACTCCTTTTCTTCTCTCTCTTCAATTTTTTGATATTTAGGTGTTTTCAAGTTCAGAAATTCATATAAAAAGTGTTTAATCAATTAATTATATGTACAGGGAAACGGAACACAAACGGCGTCATCATCCAACAACAACGAGACCATGACAGTGACGGAAAACCAGGTGGCAAAGTTGATGGAAGAGGACATGGGCACCGCCATGCAGTATCTCCAAGGGAAAGGGTTGTGCCTCATGCCAATCTCATTAGCCACCGCCATCTCCACCGTCACGTGTCACTCCAGGAACCCGTTAGCCGCCACCAACAACCACCTCAACAGTAGCAACAATCCACTAATAAGTGGTGAGCACGGTGGGCCCTCGTCACCTAACATGTCGGCTTTGACCGTCCAATCTGCCGCAATTGGTGGTAACGGTGCTGGAGAAGCGTTCGTTAAAGACGCAACTTCGGTTTCCAAGTGATAATTATCTTCACGGCTTTCAAACGGCGTTGACTGCTTTCTAACCCTTCGTTTCTTTTGGTAGAAAGAAAAGCGATAAAAAAAAAAAGACAAAAAGTTGTAGTTTTTAAATTTTGTGGCCTATATGAACTTTCAACGTCCGACAAGTCTACCAAAATAGGGTACCTTTTTTTTTAATTTCAATAGGGTGTATGACACGGCGCCGTATTTGGGTAGACTTGGCTTAAGTGTATTTTAACTTGAGCTAATCAACGGTGCAAATCCCAATAAGATCTTGCTTTATTCTTTTTAGCTTACTTGAAAAAGAGTTATTTTTATAACAACCATACTACATGTACAACAGATGATGATAATGGAGAATGATCAACACTCATAATAGGGGGGACCCACTTTTTTTTTTTTTTTTGAAATTTTTTAATCACAAGAGCCCCGTATGCATGTGAGGGATTATCAACCTTTATTGTCATCAATTTATGTACAAATAAAATTATCTTTTTTATAATATTCAACCCATTACGTTTATTTTTCATTCCCTTATGTTATTATTATACATATCACTTATGTGGCCTATTTAAGTTAAAGTCAACCATTAATTTCAATCATATATTTTTTATGGATCTCATAATTTTTCAAGGGAAAATTAGGGTAAACCAGGTGTTTAGTTTTATGTTTATGAAAATCAGGTTTATACTTTTTTTAATCAAAAATCAGGTTTTAATTTCACAATTAATATTCATAATAATGTTTTAAATTAAATTAAACTGTATATCCGTTCACCCCACCCCCAACCCCAAAATTTCAATCCAATTCCAAACCCTACTCCTTTCTCCTCCAACCTTTCTCTCTCTTCCGTCCTCTGTCATTTCTCCCTTCCCCCCCTCCCCCTCGCCTCGTCTCCAAAGTAATTCACAGCAGCGTTGACGCTGCTGCCGGCGCAGCAGCGTCGCGCTGATGCTGTGACTCGAAGCAGCGTTGATGGTGGTGGATCGACGCTGGCTGCTGTGACTCGACG